GGCCCCGGTGGGGAGAACGGCTTCTCTCCATTCCTCAATACAGCTTTGGGTTGTTTTCTTCTTTTTTTTTTTTTCTTCTCTCTCTTGTCTTCCTTGTACATGTTTGGGGTTTTTGTGTGTGTGTGCGTGCGTTCCACAGAGAAACAAGGTTAAATAAATCCTAAACCTACCCCAGAGCTGAGCTGGTGGTCATGGCTGGGCAGGACGTGCTGATGGCAACCCTGGAGAGGAGGTTTTGGGGAGGGAGGGGAGTGGGTTAGCACAAGGTCCCCCCAGGGTGTTATTTTTGGGGGAAACAGAACAAAGCTGCCACTTAGAAAGTAGGAAAGTTTATTTAAAAACAAATCAAAAGCTCGATTCATAATTTAGGAGCATAAGTTATTCATCCAGAGGACAGCACACGGGGCCGAGTGCGTCAGCACTCCTCGGAGCTGCCAGGAATAAATAGGAGCAGTATGTGACAGCAGGGCAGAGCCTGCTCCTGGGCAGCCTTTGGCAACAGGATTTGGGAAGTGGCTGCCACAGGGAATGTGGAAGCAAAGCCAGGCACAGCCCAGTCCAACAGGGGCTGTGTGCAGAAAGGCCAGGCTGGCACAGCCCTGGGCAAGGGCTTCTCTGGCTCAGCAGGAGCACGAGAGAGATGAGATTTGGTCCCCAAAAACCATGCTGGGGGGCAGGGGAAAGGGAGGAGTGTGGGAAGCCCTTGGCAGCCATCAGGGCTTTCACCCTGGAGACCTGGGCTGGGGGAATGAGGCATGGTGGCCTTGGAATGTGACTGGTCCCTGTGGGAATTGGAGGGTTCCTGGGGTGGGAAGGCATGAGGTAGGGGCTCAGCAGCTCTCTCTGTGCCCAGGACAAGGGGCAGCAGGTGCCCTGGCCTCCCCCTGAGACCAAGAGCAAGGCAGGGGCAGCAGGGCACGGGTGGGTTCTGCTGGAGTTTGGCTCAACAGGACTCACACATCCAAGTGCTGGATGCAGCCACTTCCCAGGGCACAGGGAGGGCTCAGGAACAGCTCTGGTGGTGGCTGCAAGGCCCAGCCAAGCACATGGGCATTCCCACAGTGGTGAGGGTTTCATGCCCTGGGTGCCAAACCAGGCCTGGCTGTGTTCTCCATTGTGGTTCTGCTCTGTGAGATGCAAAGGGCTTCGAAGGAGGATGAGAGTGGAGATGCTGAGGATGCTCCAAGCCTTCCTACCCCATGCCAGAGGCAGGAGGGGGAGCTGGAACTGCAGCCAGGATGCTGACAGCCTCGCTGGGGCTGGAGCAGCCCCTGCAGTCCTCAGCCATGGCTCAGTTCTTGCTGTAGCCTGTGGGATTCTGCAGCTGCCAACGCCACAGGTCCTCACCTGGAATGGGGAGGAGGGAGGTGAGGGGTGTGCCAGGAGAGAGGGGCAGCCGGTAGTGCCAGGGGGGCAGGGAGGGATGTGCTTACACATCTTGTCCAGGCCAAAGGCAGCTCTCCAGCCCAGCTCCTGCTCAGCCAGGGCAGGGTTGGCATAGCAGGAAGCCACATCTCCCTCCCGCCGGGCTGTGATCTTGTACTTGATCTGCAGGGACAGCAGCACTGTGGGCTCTGGGGCTCAGACAGCCAAGGCCCAGAAGCAGTGCCAGGGACTGTTGTGGCTGTGATGGGAGGGTGAGGGGAGTCTCGAGGAGCAGCTGTTTCTGTGCCCATGGCCCTGCAGGACCTTACCTCCCTCCCTGAGGCTTTCTCCATGGCCTGCACCATCTGCAGGACAGAGTAACCAGTGCCTGTGCCCAAATTGTAGATCTGGGGGGAGGATAAGGGACATGAATCAGCTTCTTTTGCAAAGGGAGAAGAGCCAAACCCCCTCTAGCTCCTCTCAGGAGCCACACACCCCCACAGGGCTCACTGCACCCCCGTGGTACCTTGCAGCCACAGTTCTCCTTCAGTTTCTTCAAAGCAGCAATGTGGCCCTTGGCCAAATCCACGACGTGGATGTAATCCCTGACACCTGC